ATGGGAGATCTAACATGCCATGGTAGAGTTCCACGGGAGCTCTAACATAGCATGTTAGAGCTCCACGGGAGCTCTAACATCCTATGTTAGAGCTCCCAGGGAGATCTAACGTAGCTTGTTCGAGCTCCCTGAAGCTCTAACATACCATGTTAGAGCTCCCTGGGAGCTCTAACATGCCATGTTAGAGCTCCCTGGGAGCTCTACCATGTGAGGGAAATCGATCAACGAAGGGGGATCCCTCAAATCGCCCTGCCCCTCGGGAACCCACAAAATAGCCTCCTGGACCCCTCTTGGGGCGCTCTTGGAGCGCTCTTGGGCGCTCTTGGGGCCGTATTGGGGCTCTCTTGGCCCCCTCTTGGGGCCCTCTTGGGCCATCTTGGAGCCATCTTGGGGCCTCGGATGGTCATCGGAAGCGAAAAGGCGAGAAGGCACAAATCACATATTTTCTGTAAGTTGTTTTAAAGGATTTTGGCATCTTGGGGGCCTCCTTGGAGGTCTCCGAGGCCTCTTGGAGCCGTCTTGGAGCGTTCTTGGGGCCCCTTGGAGAATCTTCGGGGCCATCTTGAGGCATCTTAGGCTATCTTGAAGCATCTCGGAGGTCATCTTGGGCTCTCCGAGGCGCTCTTGGAGCCGTCTTGGGCCATCTTGGGCTCTCTAACTACCCGCGGGGCGCCCCGCCCAGGCCCAGGGGGGGCAGGGGGAGGGGGGGCGCGAGGAGGAGGAGAAGGAGGAGGATGAGGAGCAGGAGGAGCAGGATAGCAGGAAAAAGGGTGAGCAGGAGGAGGGCCATGGGCCATGGGGGGATGCCGGTTACGATGATGACGGTGATGATGACGATGATGAGGATGATGATGATGATGGCGATGATGATGATGATGATGACGATGATGATGATGATGATGGCGACGACGATGATGACGACGATGGCGATCATGATGGTGATGCTGACGACGACGACGATGATGATGATGATGACGATATAGGGCTCACATGGAGCTCTAACATAGCATGTTCGAGCTCCCAGGGAGCTCTAACATAGCATGTTAGAGCTCCCAGGGAGCTCTAACGTGCCATGCTCGAGTCATGCTCGAGCTACTTGGGGGCTGTAACCTGCCATGCTCGAGCTCCCAGGGAGCTCGAACCTGCTATGTGAGAGCTCCCATGGAGCTTTAACCTAGCATGTTAGATCTCCCAGGGGGCTCTAACATAGCATGTCGGAGCTCCGATGGAGCTCTAACATAGCGTGTTAGAGCTCCAATGGAGCTCTAACATAGCATGTTGGAGCTCCGACGGAGCCGTAATATACGAGGTCAGAGCTCAGCCTATCATGTTGCACCTCACTAGCCTTCATGTTAGGTCTCACACCGAGTTCTAACAAGGGAGGTTCCACTCTTCCCCCGAGATGCCGTCGTCGTGCCCTTTTATCCCGCCCTTCCCTCCAGGGGGAGCTCAGTCGCCGTCGCTCCCCTCTCCTCCATCCGCCCCTCTCCGCAGGTGGTGATCGGCGACCTCGGCCGTGTGGAGATGGCGGGTTCCCACGACAGGTTGAAGAAGAAACTGCGCTACAGCCCGACCTGCGATGACCTCGGAGCACGCACGCCCGCTTACAGAGCGGCATGCGTTTTCTGGGGGAACCAGCGCTACTCAGAGGACCTGGACATCTGGCCCATCGGGTGCCTGATCGCGGAGTTGTACACGCGCCAGGTGTTGTTCCAACCAGAGCCTTTTGGCGCTGTCGGGCAGCCATGGGCGCAGCCGAAAGACTTCGTGGATACCTTCGGGGAGGTCTTGGGGATCCCAGGCGAGGAGCCAGGGTCCGGAGACTACGGTCGCGAGGATCCCGCCCCGTGGCTGGACAACCTGCCTTTCTTTAAGAAGTGGTTCAAGCGGTCGGGCGAGGATTGGCTAAAGGCTGAAACAGCGAAGCCACTCGACGGCCGAGGACGCTGGCCCGTTGCCGAACTTGCAGGCTGCCCCCCAGACTTGTTGAAGGCCGCCGAGAGCTGCCTGCTTTGGCACCCTGGCGCCAGAGCGACAATCCGCCGTCTAGGGGCGCGTCGCTTCCTGCAGCCGGCTGGCGCCCAGCTCGACGTGCGCGTCTCCATGGCGCAGGAAAAAAACCGCGCGGGCACGATGGCGGAGGCGGAGCTGGACCCAGACTTGCTCCGCTTCTTGCAGAGAGACCCGCGCTGGCAGAACTTGGCCAAGGAGCGCCTGGACACGGGGGCAACCGTCTCCAAATGCGTCCGAGGCGACGAGGCGGCACAGGGCTTGAAAACAGAGGTCGCAGGCATCGTGGACGACGAAAGCCCCCCGAAGTGCCGCAGCCTCAACAAGGGCGGGAATTTGCAGATCACCCCCTCGCCCCACATGGCCGCCTTCGCGCGAGCGCTGCGGAAGAAGATGCGCCCGTGGCTGCAACAGCTGGGAGACAAAATGCGCGAGGCTGTCAAAGCCGACGGCATGCCACCTGCCGTCCTCGAGCAGAACGGAAAGCCCATCATGACAGAGCACTTCGCCGACAACGCGTTCGCGTGCGCATCGATCCAGCTCATGCAACCAGGCGCACGGGACGATGGTTGGCACACAGATGGCCGATGCTCCCTGTTGCACGCGGCCGCGACGCTTTTCGGGGCGCGCTCCGTGCAAGTGAGGATCCCAGGGGGAGCACATGATGGGGCGTCACCCTCGAGCACAGCCTCCTGCGGAAGGGTCGCCACCCTCGAGCAAAAGCCTGGGTCCTTCTACATGGGCACCCTGTCCTCCCTCGAGCACAACGTGCACCACCACGCATCCGCGGACTGCCAGGACTGTTTTGCGACCCACCACGAGTTGCAACAGCACGTAGACGACAGCAGGCTGCAGATCGCCGTCATGATCCGCTCCGACGTCTTTCGGGAGTACAGGGCGCGCAGGATCGACGCCACGCCTGGCCCGAAGGAGTTCTTCAACGTCGTGAACCGCGTCGTGGCCGATCACCTGGCGCGGGTCCCCGTGGCGCTGCCCGACCTCACGGAGGTGCTTGACGAAATGCGGTGGCCCGCCTCCACGGAGGTTGTGGTGCCTTCCGATTCCGATTAGGCTGCAGAAGTATCCGAATCCGATTAGACCGCCACAGTACTCAGCATCATCGCCAGCATCATCATCTTCATCGCCATCATCATCGCAATCATCGGCTTCATCATCATCGTCATCATCATCATCAATATCAACATGTTCACGCCGCCATCATCGTCATGCGGGCCATGATTTAATCATCATCATCATCACTACATGATGATGACGATGACGAGGAGATAATGATGGATATTATGGTGATGACGATGATGAGGAGATGGTGATGATGATGGCGATGACGCGGGCGATGATGAATATCATGACGACGATGATGACGATGATGATGACGATGATGCAAAAACAGGTGGAGTCGGTTGAGTCCGAAAAGCCCGCCCTAAAGACAGCCAGACTGAGCATTAATTTCCGCCCCGATGCTTCCAACCTCCGCAATGGATGATTTGACCTCCACGATGGAGGCCTCCATGTTGGAGGCGTCGGACCCTGTGAGGGGAGATCATTTGCGGCATACTTCGCATCGGCCCGCGCATGTCTACGGCCGAGCTCTACTTAGACTCAGCCTAGTGCCACACAGTGAGGAACCGCGTGTGGTTGTTCAAGTCATGCAGATGTTTGTACGTTCGCGCGCCCTACAAGTACACCAGGTTCATATAACACTGGTAGGGCCTTTCGTACAGATTCGTTGGTCGATGTTGGCCCCCCAAGCTGGAGATGCTCAGTAGAGTCCATTATGAATCTCCCCTGGTCTGCGCTTGTGAAAACGTGAAAACAGATCTGACCAACGGGGCCCCGTCCAGTTACCTTCCCCTTTTCCGCGTCAGGAAAATAGTGGCGATGTTTGCATTGACGGGGCGCTTTCCCGTGGGAAAATAACAGGTCGCAAGGTAGAATTGGAAACACGAGGCATTTGAGTTCCGGGCGGAATCCGTAGCGGGCAGCCCGCTGAATGGGATTTCTGAGGTTCTCGTTGTGACCGGAAACGTCGACGCCGCGTTCGAATAATTGGAAGACCAAACAGTAAATCCACTGGTTCGACAGGCCACTGGGCGAATCCAATACGTCACAGCAAGGAGCACGCTCATAGTCGCATGATGATATCTTGCTGAATCCACTCCGCTGCTATGCTATGCCTCATGTTCTTCACCGTTCCTTCCCCCTTTTCCGTCTCCTCGTCCGTTGTCTCTTCCTGCTCCTCTTGCCCAGAAATCTGACGTCGTGTTTTGTTCATCACGTGGCTCCCTGGGATCTGGACCCCTTCCTCGCCGCTTCGTCCCGAGCCATGTATTGACGGCCCCGGTGCTGTGCACATAGGGTCACGGAAGGCCGACATATTCCTATTAACAAGAACGCCGTCGTGTTTTTTATTGTGCCACGGCGCGAGGAGGTTGGGGTCCATTGTGTCCTCCCGGTTCGTTTTCCCGCTCAGGCTGCAGGGTGCACACACCCGAAGCGGAAGCGGCCTGCGGCGATCCGCGGGAAGCAAGATTGCAACAGCCTCGAGCTCGCGGCCCGAGGCCAGCGCTCGGAGACGGCAAAAATGGCCGACAACCCCACCGATCCCCAGTCCACCTTCATTGAGTCCGCTTAACCCTCCCACTAGACACTAGATAGACGGGATGGCGGAGCTCCCCTCGGCATCGTTCGGACGTGTGTTTTGTTTGTTTCGGCACAGACCATCGAAGAGCATGTTTGTTCACCTTGAGGGAAAATAACACACACGCGCGAAGACAAACAAATGGACAGGGAATGGGCGTCCGAGCGATGGCGAGTCCCCGTTCCTCCTTTTCCTGAGGAGGAGGAGGAGGAGGAGGAGGAGGAGGAGGAGGGGGAGGAGGAGGGGGAGGGGGGAGGAGGGGGAGGAGGAGGAGGAGGAGGAGGAGGAGGAGGAGGAGGAGGAGGAGGAGGACTCTCCCCGCTTCGCGCCGTGGCTCAGAGAGGGCCGCTGCCCCGCGGGGAGGCAGGCCGGGCTGCGCGGGCCGGCGGCGCCGGGCCCACCCGCGAGGCGGGCGCCATGGAGAGGGCCCACGAATGCTCCAGCGCCTTCGTGAGGGAGGCGCGCGCCGCCCTCGAGTTCTCTCTGAGCTAGGTGGACAAAAAGTGGCATAAACATAAAAACTCGGAGAGGAAGAGGAGGAGGAGGAGGAGGAGGAGGAGGAAGAGGAGGAGGAGGAGCAGGAGGAGGAGGAGGAAGAGGAGGATGAGGATGAGGAGGAGGAGGTCCGCGCGGATTTCTCGGATCGGCGCGGGGCCCAGTTTTTATGTGTATGCCATTTTTTGTTCCCCTATGAGCCACTTCATATGGAAGCAGGCCATCTTCTTCGCCGAGCGCCTAGTAGCGGAGTGCCCGTGCGAGGAGATGACGTACCTGCTGGCGCTCGCCTATTTCCACAACCAGGAGATCAGCCGCGCCCACTGGCACCTGCAGGACAGCCGGTCGCCCGAGGCCAGGTACTTGTTGGCGAGGTGTTGCGTGCTGCTCCAGAAGCTGGACGAGGGGGAGGCCGCGCTGATGATGGGGCCTGCCGGCCTCAACGGCAGCGTAGGCGACGTCGCCAACGGCGCCGCTGGCCTGTTCCTCCTGGGCCAGATCAGGGAGAAGCAGTCGAGGGCGGAGCAGGCCATAGAGTGCTATGCGAAGAGCGTCGAGCTCTGCCCCTTCATGTGGGAGGCCTACGAGCGGTGGTCGTGGCTGGTCCACGGCTCGGCCCTCGCCAACCGCGCCCTGGCCTCGAGCATGGCCGCAAAGACGTTCACCGACGAGAGGCTCTCCCAGTCCGTCGCCGCCCTCGAGGGCCCGGCAGGGCAGCTGCCAGGCGCCCCGCACGGCAACGCCACCGCCTCCCAGCGCCTGAGCCTCCATGCGGCCCCCGCGGCGCCGCTCCGCTCGTTCGTCCCCGCGCCCAGGACCGGCTGCCGCCGCCGCCGTCGCCGCCGCCGCCGCCATCGCCGCCGTCGCCGCCGCCGCCGTTGCCACCACCGTCGAGGTCGTCGTCGCCGTTGTCGCGGTCGCCGGGGCGGGCGGCGCCGCTCGCCCCAGCGCGGCGCCCCCAGGAGCGACCGCGAGCAGCACCGCAGGGACAGGCACGGGGCCGCGGACGCTTCGGGCAGGCGGCCAGGCGGCGGCGGCGGCGCGGCGCAGCACGCGCAGGACGCGCGCGACCCAGCGCAAGGCAGGAGACAGGCGGCCGCAGGGGACCGCGGCGGCGGTCCTGACGGCGCGGAGGTATCGCTAGCGGGGCTGCTCGGCAGGTTGGGCACCAGCCTGCGGCCGTCGCCGCCGCCGCTGCCGCTGTCGCTATCGTCGCCACCGTCGTCGTTGTCGTCGTCGGCGTCGGCGTCGCCGTCGTCGTCGTCGTGGTCGTTGCCGCCGTCGACGTCGGCGTCGTCGTCGTCGTGGTCGTCGTCGTCGTCTTCGTCGTCGTCGGGGTCGTCGTCGTCGTTGTCGTCGTCGTCGTCGCCGTCGCCGTCGCCGTCGCCGCCACCGCCGCCGCCGTTGCTGCCGCCGCCGCCGTCGTCGTCGTCGTTGTCGTCGTCGTCGTCGTCGTCGGCGTCGTCGTCGTCGTCGTCGTCGGCGTCGGCGTCGTCGTCGTAGTCGTAGTCGTAGTTGTCGTCGTCGTCATCGGCGTCGTCGTCGTCGCCGCTGTCGTCGTCGTCGTCGTCGTGGTCGTTGTCGTCGTCGTCGTCGTCGTCGTCGTCGTCGTGCGAATGTCAATGGTAATGTTGACGACCGCTGCTGCCACTGACCCCTCAAGCCTTTTTCTGCCCGGCAATAGATGCCGGTCGATCCGTCATCGGTCGCCTGTCTCTTTTCGATTCGCTCCTTCTGTCTCCGTGCGGTCGGCACCGCCTGTGTCCCCCGTCTGCGGCTGCCAGTGCGACTGCGGCGCCCCTGGCTGGCCGACCTCGGTGGTACTGGCCGTCGCGCTGGGCCAGCTCGCCACGGGCTGCCTGCTGGCTCGGCTCTGGCGCGGCGCTTCTGCGAGCAGGGCACCGCCCCTGCCGCCTGTTGCCGCCGCCAAGTGTCTCACGCTGCCAGCGGGTGCGCGTGGGCTTCTGGAGGGCGGTAATTGATGGATGGGCGTTCGCTGGAGAGCGGCCGCCGCCTCTGGGCGCTTTGGGCTGGTGGCCAGGCGCTGCTGCAGCGCGCGTGGGCCTGGCTCGTTCTCTGCCGTGATCCGCCCGCGCCCCCGCCCCTTGACGTTGCGCCGCTGCTGGAGGACGACATCAGGACGTTGCCAGAGGGCTGCAACCCTCGTGGTGATCGCGTTCGTGGCGTCGATTCCGCTCGGAGTTTGCTGCGCGAGGAGCCACTGGACGACGCTTGGCCCATCGTGGGTCCACGCACAGTGGAGACCGTCGCCAGTAGCCAGTAGCGGGATGCCGTCGGTGCCCCGCCACCATTGTTGGCACCAGGCGCTCAGCGCCACCACCCCGGACCCAGGGGTCGGCGAGCACCTCTTCCTTTCGGAGACGCCGGAGCAGTCACTGCCGTTCGGCTGGCTCGATATCGGCAACCTGGCTTGCTTCGAGGGCGTGGCGCGCCGATGCCAGCCCTGGGAAGAGCGGTGCGCAGAGCGCATTCGAGCTTTTACCGAGGGTGCTGTGGCCGCGGGCCCCGCGGCGGAGCGCCGCCTGTTCCTCGGAGGAGGCCGCGCTCAGGGCTACGTGCTGGGGTCGCCCGAGCTCGAGCGCTGGGTCGCCAAGCGCTTGGAGGAGGAGGCGGGGGTGCTCAAGGAGCGCCGCATGGGGCGGGGGAGAGGGCTCTTGCGGCTGCAGCGGCCACGGTCCCTCATAGGCCGCCCCTCGACGGCGACAAGGACAAGAACAAGAAAAAGAAGAAGGACGGAACCACTGGCGCCGCGGGCGGCGGCGCGGGCGGGCAGGGGTGACCTGCCGCCCACTCGCGCTTTCCTGGAGCGGCCTCGGGGCCCCCTCGACCGAGGCCCGCTTGTATGCATGGGGAGGTGGCCGAGCGCATGCGCCGCCACTACGCCGCCAGGTCCCGCGGCAGATCCCAGGGACCTACTGCCGCTGCCAGCCGCGCCGCTGCTGGATCGTCGGACGCCTGGCGATTCCGCCGAGGAGTGGTTTATAGTGGTTTGGCGCTGGCCTGCGAACCCTCAATGAGATGGGAGGGCGCGGCACTGCTCGGCGAGCTGGACCAGCGTCTGACATCCACGTCGACGCGCTGAAGCGGCTCTCCAGCTCCTTCGACGCCGTGCCCAGCTGCCCGTTGGACCTGACCGCCGAGGCGGCCGCTCTGGCTGTCATCGGCTCCGATCCCGGCTACGCCTTCGACGACGTCGCCAGCGGGAAGTACGCCACCTACCAGCGCGGGAAGGTCTCGCTCCCACGCGTTGCCTCAGGGTGGTCAACTTGGCAGATGTCCTGCCGCCTGAGGCTCGCTCTTTGCTGATGGGTGAGACAGGGGCCTTGCTGCTGATGGACTCCCCGACATCTTCTTCCGCGCCGAGTACGCAACTGGCCTTGGACAGAAGGCCCGCACGCAGTCCAGCTGCCTATGGGAGGTTTTTGGCTGACCTGTTGGAGCGTGACATGCTCGAGGTTGGCGCCGCTTTCTCTCAGGTGGCTCCCTTCTTCGTCTACAAGAAGGACAATGCCCTCATATTGATCTTCGACACGCGGGGATCGAACATGTCGTTCATGGACCCTGACTAGTTCCGCTCGCGGCGGCCCAGGCGCTGGCGGCGCTGGAGGTGCCGGCGGGCGAGCGCCTGTTTGTCGCGCAGGGCGACGTCACCTGCTGCTTCTACCAGTTCTTGCTGCCGACTCACTTGCGGGAGGCCTTCGGTCTGCCGCCAGTGCCGCGGGCCAGCCTGCCGCCGCCTGCTCGCCAGCGCTTAGGCGCTCGGCCGCCTGACGGCTTGGCGCGGCTGCGCCTGCGGGTGGCGCCGATGGGCTGGTCCGGGGCCGTCTTCTTCACCCAGCAGGCCATGCAGCACATCTTGCGCGAGAGCACGCCTTCAGATCGGCTGCTCGCCCAGTACGTCCCACGTGCCCCCGTTCGGCCGGGCCCCAGCGCTGCCCTGATCTACATCGACAACTTCGCCGACATCGCCACTTCGCAGGAGGAGGCCGACGCGCGTTTGGAGGGCATGTTGGCCGCTGTGGTTGGCGCGGGTGTCGACGCTGGTGCTGAGCCGACTGGCTCCCCGCTGTTGGGCTTCGAGCTGGATGGCACTGGCACTCGCTGGCGCCCCACGGCACGTAAGTTCTGGCGGGTGGCGCTGGCTCTGCGCACCCTTGGCTGGGGCTCGGCTAGACGCACGGGCCGTCAGATTGCCCGCGTCGCCAGGCATGCCTCGGCCATCATGCTGCTGCGCCCTGAGATGCTGTCGGTCTTCTCGGCGGTGTACGTCTTCGCAGATCGCTTCTTCTCGCAGCCCGCGCGCGCGTGGGCCTCGGTGCGGAGGGAGCTACGCGCTGCTTGGGCCTTGCTGCCGCTCGCCCTGGCCGACGTCAGCCTGCCGTGGTGCCCACTCGTCTCCTCAGTCGACGCCCCCCTCCACGGCTTCGGCGTCACGGAGAAGAGCTGGGAGGCTGCAGCCGTCGGCGATGCGGGGCGGGCCTCCGAGCGCGGCCGCTTCCGAGGAGCCCTGCGCACCAGCCGCCGCCCCCGCGACCTCGTCGATGGCGAGACGGCGGAGCCCTCCTGGGAGGGCGTCGCCTGCTCCTCGGACGCGCAGCTCCGCGCTCTGGGGCTGCAGGCGTCCTTCCAAGAGGTCCCTGTGGACCTTGCGCGGGGTGGCGATTGGCGCGTGGTCGCCGCCCGCCGCTGGCGTCGCCGAGACAAGATCTCGGCGCTGGAGGCGGAGGCGGCTCTTTGGCAGGTTAGGCGCTTGGCACGTTCACGCGGGAGCGCAGAACAACGGCATCTTGCCTTGTCATATTCGATGGTATGGGTTCTAACATCTTGCAAGGGTCGAGGTTCAGCTTGGTACCTGCTGCACAGGTGCCGTGAGTTTTGTGCTATGTCATTGTCTTTGGGAGCGAAAGTGGCCTTCCGTTGGATCCCGTCCGAGTGGAACTCGGACCCGTCGGAAGGTATGACCCGTCTTCGTCACACCATGGTCGGCACTTCCATCGTTTTCTTGATGTTGGCACTGGAGAGGGTTTTCATTCAGGTCAGTCTCTGGTTATAGATTCGTTACGTTCTTCATCGACTACACCTCATCATTCACATCATCCTGAGCAAGGGCCCACTTATCACAGTTTACCTCAGTTGCACGAGTATGTCACACCTTACAGCACAAACATGCACGACACCAATCTGGAGGCACGGCCTGATCCTCGTCATCCATCGGACGCTGCTCCTCTGCTGCCACGTGGGCTCGAGGATGTCTACGACGGCCACCTCGGCGCCCTGGGTGCCCGCGGGCTGCGCGAGATCGCGCTCGCTGAGGCGCGCCTGCATGGGCCTGCCGGTGCTGGCGGCCTTCGGGAGCAGCTCTCGGCGGGCCGCGCCAAGGCCCGCCACTTCGCTGCCCCCTTCGCCGCAGGGCTGCCCGGGGTTGGTGAGCCCAGCGGAAGCGCCGCGGGCGCCGAGGCAGAGGACGGCAGCTCAGTCAGCGAGTCTGCCGCCGGGGGCTGCGCGGGCCCCTGCCGCCTCCCAGCCCCGTCGGCCTCGCCCGACAGCGAGAGAGGTCAGGACGCTGCGCCCCAGCCAGAGGCTGCCGCCACCGCTGGAGCCCGCGGGCGGGGGCGCCGAGGTGGCCGCGGACGCGGGGGGCTCGCCGCCGCAGCCGCCGCCGCCGAGCCAGCCTGCGCCCCTGGTGGGCCGAGCGCTAGTGCCGCGCCTTCGGCGCGCACCGGTGCTGGGCGCGGCCGACTGGGACCTGGCGCTGGAGCAGTACATCGAGTTCCTCCACGATCGCGGGCGGCCAGTGGGAGATGCGGCGAACACGCTAGCTGCTGTGCGCTGGGCGCTGCCATATCTGCCCGGGCCTCTCTGGCGCGGGCTGCTGCTGGCGACGGCGGCGATCGCAGGCTGGCGACGGCTGGAGAAGCCCCTGTCGCGGCCGCCGGCGCCCAGGATGATCGTGGCGTTGATGGCTCTTTGGCTTCGCCACGACGGACAGGGGGACATTGCGCTCTTCCTGCTGCTCACCTTCGAGACGTGCAGGCGGCCAAGCGAGGGGCTCGACCTTGCCGGCCTGCAGTTGGTGCCGCCTGCCCCAGGCGAGACGGGAGTCTGCCAGTATTTGTCGCTGCTGGTCCGAGCGAGCGACTCGAGCGAGCGAGCTCGACGTGCTTGGCAAGACAGGCGAGCTCGACAACAGCGTCGCGCCCGGCTTGCCACGCCACCGCTTGCTGTCACCAGCGCTGCGGCGACTCAAGGCAGTTCGACCAGATCGTTGCCGCCTGTTTCGCTTCTCGTACGTGGACCTCCGCCTGGCCTGGAGCCGCTGCCTGACGGCTCTGCATCTCTTGCGCCTGCAGATCTCGCCCTACTCCTTGCGCCACGGCGGGGCGTCAGAGAACAAAGCGTCTCTGCCGCGGCCCCTGCGCGAGATCCAGAAAAGAGGAGGCTGGCGGTTGTGTCGGAGCGTGCGCCGCCACGAGGAGCCGCTGATGCATCGCGCGCCGCTTCGTCGGAGGAACGAGGCGCACAGGCGCGAGCACGAGCTGCCGCCTCTCTTGCGGCCAGCTTGCGCGCGGCGCGCGCCGCCGCCACCATGCTGAAGCATAGAGTGTTTCTGGACTTGTTTGCTGGCGCGGCGCCTGTCTCCAGTTATCTCCGTAGCAAGGGCTACGGTTGCATTGCGTTCGACCAGCTCCTCGGGCCACAGTTCGATCTTAGCAGCAAGGACGCCCAGTCTACTATTGCAGGCTGGATGCGCGCGAATCTTGTTTGGGGCACGTGGTTTGCGACGCCTTGTATCACGACAACGAGAGCCAGAACGGACCGTTCTGGCAGAATGCCGCCGCCGCTGCGCTCTTCGTCTCAGCATCGTGGCTTGCCCTCTCTGCGCCCCGATCATCAGTCACAGGTTCGCGCGGCCAATGCTTTGATCGATGCTGGGGGTCGCCTCCAGCAGTTGGCCTGGGAGCTTGGGATTTCCTGCGGGGAAGAGAACCCCCAGACTTCAATATTGTGGTGCTTCCCTTCTCGTCGCAGAGCTCTCGCTCGCGGCGCCGCCGTAGATGTTGATTTTTGTGCGGGGGGGGGGGGGGGCTATGCGTAAACGCACAAAGCTTGTTTTCCAATATTGTGGTTCCCCCTCCGCGCCAAATCTGCGTCGCCACGGTCGTGCTGGACTTTGCTCCTTCACTGGTCGTAAGCATGTGCACATCAGAGGTAAGATGCACGGTAAGTGGCTATCCGCAGTTGCTGAACCATACCCGCCTGTTATTTCAAAGTTCATTGGCGATGTACTCATGCATGCGGTGCATCGCCGTGCGGTGGCTTCGCTGAGCTTGTTGTTTCGCTCGCCAGATTACTGCATGATAATGGTGTGGTTAGGGGCTTCGAGTCTTTCGGCACGCTCGCAGGTATGTGTGTGCCGCTCGCCTGAGGTTTTACACGATCTCGCTCGTTGTCCCCCTGCGCCGTGCCTCGACTGACAAAACGAGCTGGCTCTCGGGAGGGCCATGCGAATGTCAATGGTAATGTTGACGACCGCTGCTGCCACTGACCCCTCAAGCCTTTTTCTGCCCGCCCAATGCCATCCCTCGCCTCGGCAGAATTTGTGTTGGGACTTCGAGTCTTTCGGCGCGCTCGCAGGTGTGTGTGTGTGTGTGCCGCTCGCATGAGGTTTTGCACGATCTCGCTCGTTGTCCCCCTGCGCCGTGCCTCGACTGACAAAACGAGCTGGCTCTCGGGAGGGTCATCGTCATCGTCCTCGTTGTCATTCTTTATCGTCGTCGTCGGCGTCGGCGTCGTTGTCGTCGTCATCGTCGGCGGCGTCGTCTTCGTCGTCGGCGTCGTTGGCGGCGTCGGCGACGGCGTTGGCGTTGTCGTCGTCGGCGTTTTCGTCAGCGTCGGTTGCTGCGTCGGCGTCGTCCTCGTCATCGTCGTCGTTGTCGTCGTCGTCGTCGTTGTCGTTGTCGTCGTCGTCGCCGCCGGTGCCGCTGCCGCTGCCGCCGTCGTCGTCGTCGTCGTCGCCGTCGTCGTTGTCGTCGTCGTCGTCGTCGCCGCCGCTGTCGCCGCCATCGCAGTCGTCGTCGTCGTCGTCGTCGTCGCCGTCGTCCATCGATATCGTCACCGTGGTATTTGTCGTCGTCGGCGTTGGCGTCGTCGTCGTTGGCGTGTTCGTCGGCGTCGGCGCTCGGGTGCGGCGTCGGCGTCGGCGTCAGCGGCCTCGTCGTCGTCGTCGTTGTTGTCGGTGACGTCGTCGGGGTCGGCGTCGTCGTCGTCGTTGTGGTCGTCGTCGTCGCCGTCGTCGTCGGCGTCGGCGGTGGCGACGTCGGCGTTGGCGTCGTCGTCGTCGGCGGCGGCGGCGTCGTGATAATCGTCGTCCTCATCAGCGCCGTCGTCGTTGTCGTCGTCGTCGCCGTCGTCCATCGATATCGTCACCGTGGTATTTGTCGTCGTCGGCGTTGGCGTCGTCGTCGTTGGCGTGTTCGTCGGCGTCGGCGCTCGGGTGCGGCGTCGGCGTCGGCCCGGACACGGCGTCGGCGTCAGCGGCCTCGTCGTCGTCGTCGTTGTTGTCGGTGACGTCGTCGGGGTCGGCGTCGTCGTCGTCGTCGTTGTGGTCGTCGTCGTCGCCGTCGTCGTCGGCGTCGGCGGTGGCGACGTCGGCGTTGGCGTCGTCGTCGTCGGCGCCGTCGTCGCCGTCGTCGCCGTCGTCGTCGTTATCGTCGTCCTCGTCGGGATGGTCGTCGTCGTTGTCGTCGTCGTCGGCGGCGTCGTTGTCGTCGTCGTCCTCGTCGGGTTCGCCGTCGTCGTCGTCACCGCCGCCGCCGTCGTCGTCGTCGTCGTCGTTGTCGTCGTCGTTGGCGTCGCCGCCGCCGCCGCCGCCGCTGCCGTCGTCGTCGTCGTCGTCGTGAACGTCGTCGTCGTGGTTATCGTCGTCGTCGTTGTCGTCGGCATCGTCGCGACGGCGTTGTCTTCGTCGTCGTCGGCGTATTCGTCGGCGTCGGCGTCGGGTGCGTCGTCGGCGTTGGCGTCGGCGTCGGCGTCGGCGTCGTCGTCGTCGCCGTCGCAGCCGCTGCCACCGCTGCCGCCGCCGCCGCCGTCGTCGTCGTCGTCGTTGTCGCCGTCGTCGTCGGCGGCGTCGTCTTCGTCGGCGTTGTCGGCGGCGGCCGTCGTCGTCGTCGCGGTCGTTGTCGTTGTCGTTGTTGTCCTTGTTGTCGGCGCCGGCGCCGGCGGTGGCGTCGGTGGCGGCGGCGGCGTCGGCGTTGGCGTCGTCGTTGTCGTTGGCGTCTTCGTCGGCGTCGGCGTCGGCTGCGGCGTTGGCGTCGACGTCGTCGTCGACGGCGTCGTCGTTGGCGTCGTCGTCGTCGTCGTTGTCGGGTTCGTCGTCGTCGTCGTGGTCGTGGTCGTGGTCGGGGTTGAGTCGGGTCGGGATGCTCGCGGGGCTGCCTGGCAGGCTGGGCACCTGTTTGCACGCCATGCACGGCTTCGAGACAAGGCAGGCGGTCCAGCTGCTGGGGGCCCTGCCTAGAAGGCACTACGAGACTGGCTACGTCCTCGACCTCGTGGGCATCTGCCACCTCGAGTCCAGTGAGTATGCGATGGCCGAGCAGGCGTTCCAGCAGGCGCGGAGAATAGATCCGCGCCGCGTAGAGGGGCTTGAGTTCTACTCAACCACGCTGTGGCACCTGGGGCGGGATCTGGAGCTGGGGCATCTAGCACAGCAGTGCCTTCATTGGGACCAGACGCGGCCGCAGGTCTGGTGCGTTGTGGGAAATTGCTTCAGCCGCCAGAAGGAGCACGACGTCGCCATTAAGTTCTTCAAGCGCGCTATACAGTTAGACCCGTCCTTCACTTACGCCTACACTCTCTGTGGACATGAATTCGTGGCGAATGAGAAGTTCGACAAGGCCGTTCCTATGTACGAGCAGGCGGTCGGGCTCGATCCGCGCCACTACAACGCGTGGTGGGGCCTCGGCAATATCTACCAACGGCAGGAAGAACATGACAGCGCCCGAACTCACCTCATGAAGGCGCTGGAGATCAACAGAAACAATTCGACGCTGCGTTGCTACCTCGGTATGGTGCTGGACTCGTTGAACGAGCCGCTGCTGGTTCTCCTCCCCCTCCTCTCCCTCATTCCACTCCACCATCCCCTCGTCCCTGTTTCTGTATCTTCTCTAAACCAGACATCCGACGATATGCTGTTTTTGCAATCGAGGGCCCGATTCCTTCCCCGGGACAGTTCCTCGCCCCAGATCAATTTGTTATGTTCCCGGGGCCAGAAGACGCCCCCTGGAGGCCGACGTGGAGGGAAAACGCCAGGCTTGAGAACGCCAGACCGTCGGATGCGTGGGAAGGCGCTCCAGAATTTCGACAGGGCCGTACAGATCGAGCCTCAGAACGGCATGGCCCACTTCCACAAGGGGTGCGTGCTCATGTCCGTGGAGAGATACGAGGATGCGCTGGCCGCCCTGAGGGAAGTCGTCGCCCTGGCGCCCAAGGATTCGGCCGTGCACTTCCAGATCGGCAAGGCGGAGCTGCCCGTGGCCGGCTTCGAGCCGACCCGACCTCTGGCCTTCGATTCCGATTGCGATCCGACCCGACCGCCCTGCAGGGGCCGAGCCCGATCCGCGACCCCAAGCGGTCCGATCTGTTTCCGATCCCATCCCGCGCCGATTCGGTTGCGGCCCGACCCGTCTCAACAGGGGCGCCCTCGAGGGCGCGAAGTTCGTCGCGCGTCGCGCTTCGCGGTCCTCGTTCCTTCTCCCCCTCCTCCTCGTCCTCCTTTTCTCCCTTTTGGGGGGCGGCGCGAGAGCGCGAAGTTATTCGCGCTTCGCGGAGCGCGAAGCGCGAAGTTGGGAGCCCTTGAATTCGGTTGCGGCCCGACCCGTCTCAAATCCGGTTCAGTTTTGCGACCCGATCCCAGTGCAGACTGGCAAGGTGTACATGAAGCTGCAGCAAGACCAGAACGCCCTAGTCCACTTCAACGCCGCCATGGACCTCAACCGGGATTCCAAGGATTACCACATCATCAAAACGCACATCGAGCAGTTGCACGTGCGCGGCGCCTCTGCGGCGCCCTCGGCGGCCGCCGCTGCACTGGTTGCCGGCTCCGCTGCTCCCACGGCCCTCGCCAAGAAGAAACCCACCATTTTTTCGACGTTATGATTATTTGTTATCCCGGTGCTTGCCCTCGTTCTCGCACGGGCTTAGGACTATCAAAAGCGGACCTGGGACAAGAAAAATTCCTGGGGAAGGGATCGTGGGACCTCCTTCAAGTTCGGGGCCGCGCAATGTCTGGGGTTCCGTAGAGGGGGGGTTATCCCAGGGTGGGGTTAGGGAACATACCCAGCTGGACACACACATGTCCTTCTTACACGGGCCTATTTGACATGATTTTCTCTAACCCCACCTCTGCCCCTACCCCACCTCTACATTCCGCCGACTTGCAGCACTCACATCGCCAGATGCCCGGGAAAGTCCTCCGCCTCCTCCTCCTCCTCCTCCTCCTCCTCCTCCTCCTCCTCCTCCTCCTCTTCAGGGGCCCGTAGCCATTTTGGCTCAAGGTTCCAATGTTGCTTGGCATAGCGCCAAGAGGCTTTCATGGCATACCCTTGTTCCAGGGCCAGCTCAGGAGTGTCCTTTTTTTGCTCTCCTTACATATCCACGCGGGATTGTTTGCTTGTGGTGCCGCGGCCACCTTCATATTGACGGTCGAGAATCAAGACTCGGCGGTCTGCGGCGATCTCTCAACTTGCCCGAGACCTGCGACCTGGCCACCATTCGGGATCGACGTGAGCGAAGTCCTCGGAGCAACAAAGACCCATGGCAAGACGCTGCACAGAAAGAAAGGCTTGAACTATTCCGCTCCGAGATCGAGAAGCACCTGGCCATTCAAGTTGCCGACGCGGCTGAACAGTTCAAGGCCACCGCAGAGAAAGTTGCCGCTTCGTCTCAGGCCAGCTTCATCACGCACATCACCAGCATCACAGCCAAGCTCACCGAACGCCAGGACCACGTCGAGAACGACATCGTCTCCCTCAAGCAGCGCGTCTCCGCCTCTGAAGTGGAGTCTAAAAACCTCAACGACGCGGTGGACAAGATCAAGATCGCCATCGCCCACGCTGAAGCCCAAGTTCCCTCCCTCGACGTCAGCAACATCGGCTCGTGGGACAGGGCCCCACACATCGGCACCTTCTGGATCGCCTCCACCGTGGACATCACTCAAGCATCTCTCAAGTCGGCCATCGCAGAGTGGTTTTTGGCAGCCAATATCGACGTGTCTTTGGTTCGCTACAACAACTCCGCGCCTGCCAAGCGCGTTTCCATCACTGTACTTGGAGCCGACGCCGTCGCCGTACCACGTGCTCAAGCTCTTCACCATCACCTCCGCATTGGACGGGAATGGCGTACTTTCACGATCGGCGGCGCCCCATGCTACGTCAGCGCAGACAAGAGCTCCAAGCTCGTCCGACAGGAGATCCAGCTCAAGAAGCTGGCAAGGATCATCAACAACGCCAAGCAGGACCTCAACCCCAAGATCCACCGTACCGACGGCTACCTCTCTATCGACAATGTCCCCATTGTCCGCATCCAAGTGGGCTCCCGCCCTGAGATGCCGACCAAGATTCAATGGTCTGATGCTGCTGAAGGCGTCGGCCTTACATCCGCAATGCGATCTTCGTGCGCCGACGCTCTTGCCGCTGCCTTCGCGGATGCAACCACATCAGTGTCGTGGATTTAACAGCAAATGGACTCCTTGGAGCGCGACTACCACGTCATCTTTGACTGAGTGCTCGGTGGTCAGCTGGAACGCTCAGGCACTGGTGCACTCAAACATCGTCAAGCGCGACGCCAAGCTCTCCATCCTCAAGCCCTACCTCGTCAAGCGATCGCTCATTGCCATTCAGGAAACTCACGGCACCTCGCAGATGATCCACACCCTCATCAACTCCACGGGCGCAAAGTACGACGTCTACCACAGCGGCATCCCCGACTCCAACGCGGCGGGCGGCGTCGCCTTCCTCATCCCAAAGTTCATCCCCTGCGGCGACCAAGACAACACCAAGCCGATGATCAACTTCTCCGCGGTCATACCTGGCCGAGTCGCCGAACTGCGAATCCGTGACCCCAGCCTGAAGTACCTCCATATCTACCTCAACATTCATAACCATGATCTATCTGCTGACGATCGAAGACGGATCAAGGCCACGTGGCAAGTGGCAATGAATGAAGCAAGCAGCGACCCTGAGCACGTTTTGTTCTTCATGCTCGGCGACTTCAACATCTCTGAGCTACCTGCCCGCAATCTATTATGCCCTGTCGAAGTGCCTGCTCAAGAACGATACCAGTTCCAGCCCACCTTCTGGAAGCAGCTCTTTCGACCGCTGGTCGAGATCTGCACGCCATCCACCACCCACCGCTGCTGCGCGAACAACACTGAGTCAAGCATTGATCGCTTCTTCACCTCCTTCCAGGCACATAATCTCACCCATATTGAGACGATCATGGTTGCCGATGACTCGCCACTCGAACGGAAAGGAATACCTGCCAGTGACCATAAACTCCTTCATGCCCGATTTCGCCCCCGTGCTCAACGGCCCCATGCTGAACGAGGCATCCCCGCCTACCTGTTCAACTCCGATTTCTACAAGTTCTTCATCGACAAGCTCTCCGCCGACACCGAGTACGAATCGCTCACGCCCATCATCAAGTGGCGCACGCTGAAAGCCAACATGACGAACGCTGCGAAATCCACGCGAGATGCTCTTGCGCGGCTACCGCCTGAAGTCCTTGCACGCGACCATCTCTCGATCTCCTAGGAAGTCAACTCGATGACCATGAGAAGCATCTCCCGCGCGGTCTGGTACCAGGACATCAAGCTTGCGCGCCTCCTCATCGACGCCACCCACCTGGGCTCCAAGCACTTACAGATCATCACCGGCAACTCTACCGACATCCCCTCGAGCAAGGTCTGCCTCAGCAACGCCGACGCATTCGCCGACGCCGCTGCTGAAGTTCATGCTGCTGTCGCTGAAGAACGTCGCGCCCTCGCTGCCGCACGTGCCCGTGATGCTTACCAACGTCTACAGCGTCAACAAGGGGACAGGTGGCGGAAACGGGCCAGTGCTACACGCAGGCTGGGAGAGCTTTGGAAGCCCTTCTCCAAGCGTCTGGTGCTCGCTGGCATACGAATCTCGCAAGGCGACTCCTCCGTCATCGCCAAGACGCCGTCGGACATGCACGACGCCATACTAGCGCACTGGGGCCCGATCTTCGCAGACAAGCCGGTAAACACTGCCAACATGAACATCTACCTGGACTCCGTCTTCCCCCAGCGTGACCTTGTTGCGCTGGAACTCCCCAACGCTGAAGAGCTTCAAGAAGCAGCAAAACGAGCACATGACTCCGCCGCAGGTCCAGACGGCCTTCCTTACAAAGCATGGACTTCTACTCCCAACAGCTTCGAGATCCTGGAAGAGCTCGTGGCTAACATCTCGGCCCACAACATCATCCCGCACGATTGGAATCACGCTCTACTAGCCATGCTACCAAAAGGTGATGCACCAGCTGGGCATGCCGAATGCTATCAGTCGCCAGGCCAACTCCGCCCTCTCGCGATGAAGAACACCGACGTCAAGATTGCTGCCTCCGCCATCAACCGCAAGCTACATCCGCTAGTCAAGCAAGTGTCGAGTATCCAACGAGGCTTCGTACCTGGCCGCCAATTCCTCAACAACATAGTCGAAGCTGACACGTACAGCCGCATCTACAGCACCATGGACAACGCATCCGAGCACATGCCGTGCTTCCTCAGTATGGACATCGCCGCCGCCTTCCCAAGCCTGCTTCACGCTTGGTTATGGGAAGTGGTTCGCAGATGGGGGATTGATGGCCGCGTCCGTCGCCTCCTCCAGTCCTTCTACGCCTCGCCCATCGCCTTCCTCGAGCTGGGAGGCACACGTCGGCCTTTACTCGTTACAGCCAGCGGAGTAGCTCAGGGCTGCCCACTCAGTGGCACCATCTGGGCTCTGGTGTTCGACCCTATCCTACGTGGAATTCAACGCCACTTTCATCAGATTGGCCGTGGCATGGCCAGTGCTTGTGCCGATGACATTGGCTGCGTCTTAGCACACTTGCGCGACATGCAAGGCATCCTTCCGCATACCGAGGCGGCCCAATCTTTCGCAGGACTGCTGCTCCAACCTCAGAAGTGCGCGCTCGTCCCAGTATGGACCAACTGCATCGAAGACGTTGACAACACCATGCGCGACACGCTCAGGACGATCAACCCCGCATGGGCCCAGTTCAAGATCGACGGCAAGGCCAAGTACCTCGGAGTCTACATCGGTCCCTGTGCTGATGATCGTGCGCAATGGGCCGCCCCTGCGGCCAAGTGGTACCACCGTACTCAGATGTTGGGCGACGCCTCCGCGGCCATACAGATGAACGTTTCGCTGTACAACACTTCCGCGATCACCTGCCTCACCTACGTCGGACAACTGTTTCCTGCTCCAGAGCTCGTCCTCTCCAAAGAAATTCATGCCCTTCATAAATTTATCAGATCTGCTCCTCCAGCATTCACCAAGCTCGACATCCTCGGCATGACGAACTGGGCAGGCTGCGCCATCCCCATTGGTGTCGAAGTCCTGCTTGCCGCCACGCTGTGGCGCTCTGCCACTTCCACCATCAACGCCTGGCCCCAGCTTCTCGAACTACACCATCTTGCTGCACTCGATCAGATTCCACTCGTCCGAGTTGCCCAGGGACTTTGGACCGCGCCGTGCTGGGCCTCCGCCACTTCGATCGCACAACACCTGCGGGCAGCCAAGTTCGGCGACAACTACTCCACCCACAAGGGCACCATCTTCAAGATCATCAAGCGCAGCCGCCATCACGATCATCTGGCTCACCGTCAGCTACGCCAAGCTCATGAACTCGCTCGAGCTGCTGCTCTTCGTGTCATGGACAAACTTCGCCGCGCTGAAGATGATCCTCCAAAGAAATCTCCGCAGACCACTTACATGATCACGCTGCAGCGCTCGCTCTACGAAGATTCCTTCGACGCCACCCTCGCCGCCCGCCTTCGGGCCTGGTTCCCTACCCTCCCGTCGGCGCCGTCTGCCGCCAATCCCGACTCTGGACGCCTCCAACGGTTTCCACCACTTCATCTACATATTCCCAATACGCCAGATGATGATGACCATGGCATGCGTAACGCAGCCAACGAGCTCGAGATCATCGCAAAATGCCTGCAGCACTGGGCCTCCGACTGGCTCCCCTCGATTTACCTCGATCAACCACTACATGAATGGGACGTCGATGATTGGCATGAATGGTGCGAAACCTTTATTCTTCGTCATCTCCGTCGAGGGGGTCTTCAAGTCCTATTTCGTGGCCAAACTGATACACAGTTCCGTCGGCGTGCCGAACGTATTTGTGCGCAGGCATGGCAGTCAACTGCGGCATCCAGACTCCAGACTACCGCTGCGTTCAATCCCCCCCGTGCCGCCGAGCTACAGCAGAGGTTCGAACGTGCAGCCAATGAACATCATGCTCGACGTCGCTGGATCCACGACGCCGACTTCCAGAACAATGACTCGGACTCCACTCCCATGATCACCGACGACCTCACCAACGCATACGCGGACGACAACGACATGACCTCCCTCATCCAGTTACCGTTCAACATGAAGATCGCATGGAGCCGCATCCGCCCGAAGATCGCCGAGTTGCCGCCATCGCGCTTTTGGCCTGTGATGAAAACACTATCGGGTGGGTGGGCCACGTCTTACGCATGCACGTACAGCCTGTCCTTCGTGGTTGCGTTCTTGGCTGCAACCCAAAGTTTCACCCTGACGCCTTCAGTCACTATCTGGTCTGCAAGCGATTGTGGCACCATGCTGCACTGCCTCGTGGACGACTTCACAAATGTGTACTCGCCAGGCTTGGCCTGCACGACATCAATTTCGACCCGCTCTGGTCCGACGATGACAAGATCGACCAGGTTTTACCACGCGATCAAGATCGATGGCACCATCGACGAGTCGTACAACACCCACAAGAACTACATGCAGGCCTCTCGCCTCGCCCTGAGGCTGGGCCCGAGCGCGCACGGCGGTGCGCGCCCATTATAGATCGACGCGCCTCTCCCTGGGGTTCGTTCGCTCCTCCTCCTCAGGGGTCCCATTCCGTAGCCATTTTGGCTCAAGTCCGTCCCCTCCGTGGGATCTCGGACTTGGGCCGAAATGAGTTCCATAGCTGCCTCTCCCAAGGCCACCTGGCCGAGCGCCGCGCCGCCCGCGTTCGAGGCTCGCGGTTCCATATGTTCACGCAATGGCGTCTCCTGCCGCTGCTGCTGACGCTGACCCTCATGCCGCATTGCAGGAGCGCTGGCGCCCTGCATCGCCGCGCATGCCAGGCGCTGCAAGGAGGACGTGCTGCCGCACGCCAGTCTGCCGTTCGGCACCCACTTCTTCTTCATCACCTGCTTCCTCCTGCGGCACGCGTCCCTCCTCGAGCAGATGGCGACGCCCCTGACCATGAGCCACGTGCCGACGTGACAGGCCCATCCATGCACAAACTCGAGATGTTCCCCTTCATTCCCGTCGGCATGTGCGCTGGCGGTGAGCTGCAGCTCGTCTCCGACTTTCTCCGCCAACTTCGTGCCGATGATGTCGCTGTTGATGGCGCCCTGCCTGATCATGCGCACGCCGTTCACGGCGCTGATGCTGCTGCTGCTTCTGTCGGTGCCGCTTTACATGCTCAAAAATGTCCATACATCCGAAGTTCGACGCCATGCTGGTGGAAGTCTTGCCGACACTGCCGATGGAGTCCTGCATGCCCTAGCCGTCCCACGCTCTGAGGCTCGCCGAGCTGGTCTGCGCGCTGCTGATGGTGGCGCCATCCGTGCAGGTGGAAGTCGTGCCGACAGTGCTGATGGAGCCCTGCATGTCATCCCAGTACCACGCTCGGAAGCTCGCCGCCTTGATCTTCACGCTGCGGATGGTGGCGCCGTTCGTCGTAACGCTCTGCCCGCTTATGCTGCCGCTGCTGATGGTGCTGGTGCACACGTTCTTCCGCACGCTCCTGATGCTGCCGCTGCCGGTGGCGCTCACTTGCATGAACCCGCCCAGCGTGATCCGCAGGGCGTTGCCGCTACCGGTGGCGAGCACGCACTCGTTCTTGCAGCCGATGGTGGCGCTGCACGTCGTGCCGAACCTACTCTCGCCGAGCGCCGCCTAGTCTACCTCCTGGTCGACACGTGCCAGATCGACGCGCACACGCCGTACTCGAAGGCCGAGAAGATCTTGCAGCACGAGCCCGAGTGGGCCCCTGTGGTCGACGTGCGGCGCCGCCTGATCTTCGACACGTTCATTCGCCAGCTTGGGCTACATCCTGATAGAGTTCCCGATCGTGCCGTTCTGCCGCCTGGAGTGGCTGCTTCGCGTCCCGACCATCCCGAAAAAGATCTGCATGCTGGTGCTCGCGCCGTCCAGCCGCCTGCTGTGGCTCACGATACCTACCACGTCCATCCCGAAGAAGATCCTCATGCTCATACCCGTGCCGCCGCGCCGCCTGGAGTGGCCAGCGTGGCACGGCCACACCGTCCCGACGAAGCTCTTCATGATGATGCTCGGGCTGTCCTGCCGCCGGGTGTGGCTGCCGACGCTCGTCACGATGAAGATCGACATGCCTGGGCTGAAGCTCTGCATGCTGATGCACGTGCCGTCCCGCCGCCTGGAGCTGACGCTCGCCACGATGAAGATCGACATTGCTGGGCTGTCCCTGGTGCACCGTGTCTTCGTCGAGCCGACCTGCTACAACTTCGCTGCTGCAGCACGGCCCTGGCTGCACCGGCGGAGGAGCTGGTGGACCCTGAAGGAGACCTGCATGACGCTGCACGCGCCGCCCCGCCGCCTGGAGTGGCTGACGCTGTTTCCCACGACCTTCCTGGATCGCTCCTGCCACCCATTCCTGCTTTCCCAGCTCTCCAGAATGTTCCTCACGATGTACATTCCGCCGCTCTCCGCGTGTCTGGTCCTGTGCCCACAGTAGTACCAGTGCGCCTGAGCCCCCCACTGAAGCCAGCCTGGAAGTAGACGCAGCGGCGGTCGGACGAGATCGGGATCACTTGCCCTCTTCTCGTGTCTTGCCCGCTTGCCCTCGTCTCTTCCTCTTTGAGTACGTGCACTCCTCAGGGGTTCCATCCGCGGAGGTGTTCCGCCGCTCTCGGGCTTCTCTGGGGCCCCGGGCTGTGCTGGTCCTGGGGAGAGCCTTGGGGCCCCGCGGGTCCCCATGTTGACGCCCCGGCGACGTGATATCGGTTACGGCCAGTGCCGCCGACCCTGAGGACGACGACGACGACGACGCTGACGCTGACGCTCTGAAGCCCTTCCTGGACGGAACTAGCACGGGGATAAATTTGTATCATAGCGTTCCGAAGCGCTCGGAACTTTGAGAAGGCCGCGGCGTCCGAGACTTCCTCTAGAGCCGCCGGATCTCAGGGATTCTCGATTCATCTTCACCTGATTGTATCCTCGTCCTGGCTTCGCCTTACTCTTGGGGCTCAGTTGGGGCTGGGGCCGGGCCAGGGCCGGGGCGTGACAATTTTTTCGGAGGTGGATAGACTTCCTACCCTGACACGTCGATTGAGGAATTCGCCGTTTTCGGTTCGCGAGAGGGCGTCGCGGCCGTCGTTTTTGCGGGTCCAGGTCCGTCGGTTTCGGTCCCAGGCCGTTTTCACTAAGGGGAGGTTTATTAAATCAAGGGCAGAAAGAACGCCCCAACCCTGGTTTACGAGGCGCTGTGCGCTGAAACTTCTGTGCGCTGAAACTTCTGGCGCAGGATAAACCCTGCGTGATGTGCCGCGTCCTGGCGGTTCTAGGCTGTGAGGGTTCCCAGGAAGTTTACAGACCACGCACTTGTAACCCAGGGTAGAGCCGTTTTTCATCCCTCAACGAAAGGGAGGTTTGTCCACCGCCGATATTTTCCACGGCGAGGAGACCCCTGCAGGCGGCGACCCCTTCCCCAGGATCGGCGCTTGTCAGAGGAGAAAGAGGTCATGATTTTAAGGGTACAGTTGGCCCGGATTAGTAGGTCGACCCTGCCAGCTCAAGGGTATCCTTGTGACCTGTGCCTCGCGACACGTGCCTTCTTACACTCCTATGTCGACGTGGCCCTCCTCGGAAGGGTCTTGTGTCCTCTCGCGTATCCTGTCCAATCAGGGCCGACTGTAAAGGTTACCTGCTTCTAGAAAAAAACATATCTCAGGCCTATGTCAAATAACGTTCTCACTATCTAGCGACAGGCGTCTATGGACACCTTGGGTATCGTTACGTATAAGGGCACATAGTGTATGGTTGAATACGTATATCGTCAACGCGGCCGTTGCATCCGTCGCAGTACACTTTCGGAGACCGGGTATATCCGTCTACGGTATGTCTGTTTGTTAGAGCAGGTTCCACATGGTACTCCAAGTCAGAAGAGCAAAAGGTTATGATAATGATACGTTCCAAGAGTTTCAGGATCTCCCGGGATCCCCTAAGACTCACACGGGCTGCGGAAGCGAGGGCCGCCAGGTAGTTGCTTTCTGGGAATCCTGGAAAGCATCCTGAGCCAATCTTATCGCGAGACTCTGCCCATCCTGCAGTCGAGCATCTGATTAAGAAGGCTCCTCCCGAGTTTCTGGGCCAGCGTTTCCTGGCCAACTTGCCGGAAAGCGGGCACAGACTACGTTCGCCCTTCCAGCGTTAAGAACAGAGGTTGCCCCAGGCTTGTTTCAAGAAACTTTTGGGAAGCTGTCCCAGATTTCCAAAATTATGATTTTCTGGATCACATTTTCGGTTGCAGTTTTGTCCCGCATCGGTTTTGTTACGGTCCCGGGGCCCGGTGCGGGCTTCCCGGGAAGCGTGAGATTGTCAAGCATGGGCCGTCGAGCATCCAGCTCTTCTTTCTCACGACGAGAGGCGCGGATCTCCGTGGAGTCGGCGTGTGCGTCGTCTTCCAGGGGCGACGCGCGCGCCGAGAAATCTTGCAGTGTAAGCTCCGTGTCAGGCGCTTTCTTGCCATACGTCTCGGGAGACGATCCACTACGAGATGTTTGTACTATAGGTTCGGGTTAGACGTCCGCCTCCGAGGAGGACATAGTACTAGTACGCTAGGTTCCAGGGGCCGTTGGCGCACCGGCGACGCCGGCGAAGCGTTCAAGGTTTCATTCTGGACGCGGAAGCACCGAGGCACGCGGTAACGCTGCTGGAGCCGACAGACTTCAACCTTGAACGATCCGGGCCGCGATGATCGATTCAGGGTGGAACGTTCGACGCGGTGTCGAAAACTTGTGCGCGCGCCGACGCCGCACGAACCTGCCATTATGTCACTATGCTTTAACCTATGCCCATCCACATCGGGCCATGGTATCTCAACCCCACCATCACGCCGCCCCAGTTGAGGATAGACCCTTCAAAACCCGAAGGGAACAGCCTACATCCCCATTCTAGGGGGGTAAATCGGCCAGTGGGGCCCAGGCCACGCTGGTGGGGATGGGGATCGGTTGAACGATGCTCAAATGTCCTTCTGCGCCCCGTGGAGCACAAGTCCGCCTCCCGACCTGTTCTGGGATGCGCTTCCGGCCAAGGGCCCCCGAGGGAGGCCCGGAGCCGCGGCGGCGAGGAGCCCGTCTCGGAGGCTCGGAGGCCCCCCCCCACCCCCAAGAGGAGAGATGGTACCCCGGTGGCAGAAGGCCCTGACGGCATGAGGAAAGCAGAGATCAGCATCGCTCAACCGATCCCCATCCCGAGCCCCGCCATCCCCAGCACCCCAGTTGGGGACACGCCCCTCGAGACCCAAGGGGAACAGCTTCGCGCAGGAGTGGCCCTTCGCCGGAGTGACCTGCAGTGCGGGCTCACAGGGGTCCCCCCAGCACTGGCCTGCGCGCTTGGATTCGGCCTGCGTGCCGTGGCCCCCCAAACCCGCGCGCCAAAGGCCACTCTTGCCTGGGGTCACTCTTGCGTGTAGTCGGCGTGATACGGTCGATCATCTGATCAAGAAGCCTCCCGGAAAGCTGGGCCAGCGTGTCCGACGCCAGCTTGCCAAAAGGCTGGCCCGGTTTCTTGAGGACGTTCGCCCCTCCAGCGTGATCAAGCACAGGTTGGCCCTGGCTTGCTGGAAGAAGCGGATAGCTGGCCCAGGTTTCTCAAATCATGGATGGTGTGTATCATATGTTCGGCTGTATTGCACTGCGCATGTGGGAGACCATACGGGAGGCCATGCTGAAGACCATACGGGAGACCATGCAGGAGACAGGACGGGAGACCATGCGGGAGACTACGCGAGAAACCACACGGGAGACCATGTGGGAGACCATTTGGGAGACCGCAGGCCACCGAGCCGCCGATTCCAGATCCGGAGCAGCTCACACCAGGCCTTGGAAGAACGACGCAGGACCATTACAGACAAACTGCTTTGGGAACCTCGAGCCTCGGTCTTCCAGCCGAACCCCTTTTTCCAGACATCCGACGATATGCCTGTTCAACTGCGTGACCCCAGGAGGGTCCCGACCCCTCCCCGTGGGCCAGTTTTTCCTTCCGGACCCACGCCTGAAGGCCCTGGGTCACGGGCCTTGGAGGCCGAGGTGGAGGAAGCGCGCTGGGACGGAACAAGTCATGCCGTCGGGGGTTCATTCGTGCAAGGGGTGGAGGGCTCAGGGGGCGGCATGGCACGCATTCGTTGGGGAGCCTCGTCAAATACATGGGCGTTGACTGAAATTTCGATCGATGAAATCCACAGCGGGGATGCCGTGGTCGGCGTTTTGGGGAGGCGCACCGAGTTTGGCCAGATCTTGTACCCATGCACTGATCCCCTTTGGGCTACCCGCTCCTGCCCAAACCGCCGGTCAAAAGGCCGCTCCCGCAGACCTCCCGCACCTGGCGCTGGAGGCCTCCGAGAGGGCGCCTGCGGTGCAGGCGCAGATCAACAGCGTCCGCGCCCGCTTATCGCAGTGCACAGACGCGGCGGAGGCATCCGCGACCGTTCGCGTTTTTTCCTCTCTCCTTGCCCTCCCTCCCCTCCTTCCTGGTTCTCCTCATCGCCTGCCTTCTTCCTGGTCCTCCTCGCCATCCTCGCCCTCCTCTCCCCCCCTCCTGCTCCGTCCTGCTCCTCCTCGCCATGCTGCACCCGACAACGCCTGTATAATCCGGCCTCCCTCCCCCCTTCCCCTTCAGGAGGAGGAGGAGGAGGAGCAGGAGCAGGAGCAGGAGCAGGAGCAGGAGGAGGACCAGGAGGAGGTGGAAGAGGAGGGTACGGGAGGGGGAGGGGGGGAGGAAGGGAGGGAACCAGGGAGGGAGGGAGGGAGGGAGGAGGAGGAGGAGGACGAGGAGGAGGAGGAGGAGGAGGAGGAGGAGGAGGAGGAGGATGGAGGAGAAGAATGAGGGACGAGAAGGGCGAGGAGGACAAGGAGGATGAGGAGGAGGACGCTCGAGGAGGACGGTGCAGGAGAAGGAAGAGAAGGAGGAGGAGGAGCAGGAGGAGGAGGAGGAGGTCCGCTGCCATTTTGGCCCAAGGCTCGGGACAGGCCCGAGGTTGAGTGAGGCAGCTCTTCTGGAGCCTTCCAGCCATCAAGGGCTGGCGGACACCTTTTACATATCTTTCCCCATGGCTGGCGGCAGGCAACCAGCCCCGCACTTTCCCATGCGCTCAGTGTGGAAAGGCATTCGCCTCCCACAAAGCCCTCCTTCAGCACTGCCAGATTGCTCATAAGCAGCGTGTGCAGGTGCGTCTCTTTTTCGACGACAGCGGCGTGTGCCCAGCGTGCAGCATTAACCTTGTCGAACGATTCCGTGTCATACGACAAGTGACCGACAAGAGACGTCCGGGATGCCGAGTTCTGATTTGGCATCCGTGGATCTTCTCGACCCCTCGCTCGTACAGACATGGGAGGATCGAGAATGTGCCAGCCAGCTTAAGACAGGCTCGACAGCAAGGATCCACCCACATCCCGGCCTCGGGCTCAGCCAATACAGCGGCTTGCAAGAGGATCGGCCGAGTGCAGCGCTAAAGCGCATAATATACGCATCATTGTTGTAAATTGGGACTCCCTTGTGGAAACTTTGCCAAACAAGCACCTCTTTTCGGCTTCTTTTCCCTGCCTCCTGCCGATGTGCGCAATGGCAGGGGTCGTTTTCGTTCGCAAGGACTGCAAGCCACCCCCCTTTGGCAAGGGGAAAGGTGGAACGGGGCGTGGCCAAGAACTCGGCGCTGACCTCGCAGATGACATCGATATCTTCCCCACTTCTGCTACGCAGGATCGGTTTCCAGCTCCTACTCCTCCTGGTGCCAATACTGATGTACGACAGTACGTCGCGCAGCAGAACACCGAGATCATGGCCGCCATGTCGACCATGCAGCAGTCCATGCTCAAGCTGCAGCAGCCGGCCAGCGCCCACTGCAGCGGCCTCAGCCAGCAGGTCGAACAGCGCCTCGCCAGGGTCGAGGCCTCGCAGCAGAACCACTCCCAGCGGGCGGACATCATGGCCAAGGAGATACTCGAGTTCAAGGGCGCTCTCAACATTGTACATTGTGCAGAACTCAGAACCACAGGCCCGGGCGAACCCGACCAACAACTTCCAGCGGAAGACCGACTCGAACACCATCGTCATCAGGGCCAGCCAGCTCGTTACCAAATACCAAACAGTCCCTCTTTACGGCCATCGCCCCGTGGCTCCCCGACGCCAATTTTGAAGACAATGCCTGGGTGCTCGACGGCGACGCGGCGGCGAAACGCTTCGTGGTGCGAGTCCAGGGCGCAGCAGGCTGGGCTTCTCGCTTGGTTTCTCAGGGATGTATGCGGCTTCCAGATGGTGAATCTCGGCGTCTCCAGGCTCGCATGCCGACTGGGGACCTCGCAGATTTGCGCGTGTCAGAGGACAAGAGCGCGTTCCAGATCCACCGTGAGCTCACCACCAGGCAGGCGCGCGAGACTCTCTCCTCCTTTGCTCCGGATGTCAAGATGTTTGGAAATACGTGAGTCTCCAGGTGTCATCAGTGCAGATTGGAAGTCGCCTGTTCGCACTACGCCTCGCCAGTCAGACGCCCCGTGCATCGAGCGGGAGGAGCCCAACATGCAGGCCGTCGGCATCCGCAGCGCAGAGGTCGAGGAGCGGGCGGTCGCGCCGGCTGCCCTTTCGAGCCCCTCGTCCGCGTCTCCTGCACAGTGGCGCGTTGAACAAATGGTTTTCTTTGACAGGTAGATATGCTCTCCCTGAGCTCGGGCTGGCCACTTGGAATGCGAGAGCTCTTTGCCATCGCGATCCCATTGTACGGCTGACGAAACAGCGTTATCCCCGGGACGTGCCCCGCGGGTTTCGGATCCTTGCGGTTCAGAAGAGCCACGGCAGCGAGTTTGACGTTTCCGGCTTTCTTCACATGTCGTCTTCGGGGTTCCAGGCCGAATCCAGTTTCTTCTCGGAGCTGAACATGGGCGGGGTGATCGCGTTCGCCCCGAAGGAATATCGTCGCCTTGGGGTCGGGGCCTCTGCGGCCTCCTCGGTGCTCGTTCGTGGGCGCGCATATCGCATTGCAGTATCTCTAGGTGCCCTTCCTGGCGCTGGGAGCGGCGACTCTGCCGCTGACTCTGCTTCTGCACAACAGAACGTGATCTAACTACCGCAGGGAGACATGCATGAGAGTATGCGTCAGGATTTGCAGCGGGCAGAGTCAGATCCTGAGCACTTCCTGATGGCGCTCGCAGGTGATTTCAACAGCTCGAGGGGCCCTCCCTGTCCAGAGGCCCCATGCGAGGTGGCCGCTTGCGAAGACCCCGACGCGCCCGAATGGGGGCGCCAGCTCCGCTCGCCGCGGCAATCGCTCTGTGACAATCTCGCGGAGCTAGACCCGTACAACGGCCGCCGCCGTCATACCTCTGCCATCGATCGCCTCTTCGCGTCCTGGCCTGGGTGGATTCTGACGAGCATCCATCTTGCCTCAGAAGTTCGGGGCCTCTCGGAGACCTTGGAGCAGCGCCGAATTTCCGACCGCGCCCCTGTGATAGCCGCCCTCCGCGCGAGACCCCCGATGGACCCTGAATGCCAGACCATCCCGGAACGCATTCTTGACCACCCTGAGCACAAGAAGTTCGCGGACTCCCACTGGGTCCGCATGGGGGTCACGGACCTCCCGGGCCCCCAAAGGCTCGCGATGTTCAAGATGGCGCCTCGTGAAGGCGCCCGTTACGCTCGGAGCGCTCTTCTCGGGAAAGGCCCCAACAGCCTCGCCTCCAAGTTGATCCCCACGCGGCCCATGTCTTGGGCTGTCTGGTGTCAAGACGAGAAAATGGCAGAGCGGCTCTTCGGGGCCCCGCTCGTTTTTCTATGCTCTCGACGAGCTTAAATTCGCCGGCGCGGAGAGCCAGCAGCGCTCGATCCGCAGCGAATTTAGAGCAGCTGTCCGTCTCCCCTCGCCCGGCGCGACCATGGCGAAGCTGCGGGGGGGGCCGCGGCGCCTGGCCCGCCGCGCCAAGTTGCGGGCGCCGTTCGCCCGCGGGACCACGTTCGCAGGGGCGCGAGCTGAAAACGGACAAGTCGGCTCCTCGCTGCAAGCCGCGCCAGAGAAGATTTCCGCGCGCAGGAGAGAGGTCTTCCTTCCCATGTCAATTGGCGAGACCGCCGCGACCGCGCGCCTGTTCCGCCTCTGCCCCCCCCCCCCCCCCCGACATCTCTGAGACCCCGCCCCGAGTCTCACGGGCGCGCAGCAATATCTCGGTCGCTTTCCTCGCTCTGCCCCTGGCCCAGGCGGCCCCCCATGCGAGGCGACCCAGCAATCTCAGCAATCGGCTGAACATTTTACACAGGGCGATGCGATGGATCTTGGATGAACGGCCGATGCCGATGGGTCTCGAAGATCTCTCGGGCACGTTCATCCCGGAGGGCTCTGGGGATGAGGGCGCCCCCGCTGGATGCATCAGGGCACCCGCCAACTTGCGCCGTTGGGATTCGAAAGCGCGGGCAAGAAAACCGCCGCGGGCGTCGTAGTTCGAAAACTACCGAGGCGCCCCCCGACGATCGCGAATCCGGTTCAGCGCAGTTGCATCCCCGCCAGAAATTTCGGCAATGCCATTATTGAGCTCGGCGCGAAATCCAGGGCTTACGCCGCGCGGCCGAACGCGCGCGTAGCCATGCCCTCCTTGCTCAGTTTTGATTTTCAACAGGCCTTCCCGAGCGTGGCCCATGAGTGGATTCACTCTGTGCTCCTTCATATGCGACTGCCGTCGGCGATCTGCTGGTTCTTTGCGGAGCTGCGTCGATGCGCGCAGTGTTTTCCGACGACGACGACGGAACAGCGGCTTCTCTACTTCGTCCGGAGTGGCGTCGCCCAGGGCTGCCCTGGCTCTGGCTACCTGTTCGCGCTGTGCGCGGGCCCGTTCATGCAGGGCTTCGACCGCAGCGCGAACCTGAGGAACGCTGGTGTCATTCGCGCGTGCGCTGATAATGTCGGCGCAGCCATCGTGCGCATTGAGGTCCTCGAGGTGCTACATCGCGCCCCCATCGGTTGCCGCGGGAGTCGCTTCTCTCAGTTGGAAAGCCAGCGAGTGCAAACTAGCCCCCTTCGCCAATGAGCACACCAGAGGCAGCAGAACGACGCCGGCAATGGATCAGAGAACGTGTCCCATTATGGGGCAACTTCGACATCGTTTCTCACTTGGCCTATCTCGGGCTTCGTCTCGGGCCAGAGGTGCCGCTCGAAAGCTGGACTCCTCCGATTTAAATATTCAAGCATCGGGCCAAGCTGATGGCCGCCCAGGGCTCGACGAGATGCGTATCGGTTCTCTCTTGGGCTGCTCAATTGATTCCTGTCCCTGCTCGCCTGGCATCGTCTGAGCCAGCCTTGCTTGCCCGCATCTGGCACGCCCCTCACTGCGATCCCCGACGCGGTCCACCTTGGCCCCTGGCGATGGAATGGCCCGCGCTTTCCGAGCCCCCTTTCGACCACTTTGCGCCTCGTGAGTGCCAGCCGCACTTCTTCCGACAGCTGGCGACCAATGCTCGCCCTTCTCCGCGGAGTAGCCGAAGAGCACCTCCCCCTCGCCAGGCTTGCTTTGGGCCAGTTTCCGTCGCAGTCTTGGAAGCAACCTTCCTTTGCGGAGTTTCTGGAGGCTGCGAATTCGAATTTCCCACAACCAATTTGACAGAGCCTGGTCACCTCCTCTCCTGCCTCGGTCGAGCTCCTCTCTGCCGCTGCTGCGACTGTTGCGCCCTCCCCCCCATCCCGCCCCCCTCCCCGTCTCCGCGTCCAAGGCCGCCTCCATTCGGCCATGCCCGAGGCTCGTTTCCCTGATTCCCTGGTTTTGATTTTCTCGGCGCGTCTTGCGCCCAGATCCGAGCATGGCCGTGGGTGGAAGTCCGAAGGGTTATGCTCCAGATAAAGCCCGCTCACACCAACTGTCGCTTAAAGCATCTTAAAGCTGCTCATCAATGGATGTCCTACTGACAAGCGCTTTCAACAGGGACGGAACGGCCTATTGGGCTGTATCCCCACTTGCTTAGATTTCTCTCGCGATCGCTTGTCCCATTACTGGTCTTACCCTCGTTTCATCCACCTGTTTTGCCTTGTCCTGCACACCTCTTCGCTTCCTGGCTGCCCCATCCGCCGTCTTGGCCTGATCTCCCCGTCTTATGATTCTCTGCTCGTCCCTGTCACTGCTACTCCTTCTCTACAATGTGATTCACAGTCGGCGCGCTTCCTCTGAGATCGTAGCCGACGAGCGTCAGGCTCGCGCGATGGCGGCGACAATCCGATTTCAGTTGAGGCGTTAGTCAAGGCGGATCGAACTCTGGTTGCGCAGCTACGTGCCAGGAGAAGGAGGAGGAGCAGGAAGAGGATGAGGAGGCAGAGGAGGAGGAGGAGGAGGAGGAGGAGGAGGAGGAGGAGGAGGAGAGGAGGAGGAGGAGGGAGGAGAACGAGGAGAACAAAGAGGAAAGACGGTGGCCGAGGAGGGATGAGTAGGAGGGGGGGGGGGGGGGGGGGCGACGTCGAGGAACTCCAAGAAAGTGAGGGGGGGTGACGAGTTTGGCCGTCGCAGGCCAACGCGCTTTCTTCGGCGCTGACGGGCCTCTACCAGGAGCTGGAGGGCGCGCGGCGCGGCGCGCGGCGGCACGCGGCCGCGTCGTCCTCCGCCGGCGCCCAGGATTCCTCTCCTGAGCAGGGCTGCGGTTCAGAGAGCGCCTTCCTTTGCAGGACCACCAAAATACGGACGTCAAGGTGATCAAAAGCCTCGCAAACTAAGCCGACGAAGGCGCGAAACTCCCAGCCGTTCGCTTATGTCCAAGGTTTCGGCTTGACGCCGAGTGTGGTACATCAGTTTCAGCTTGACCGAGCAAAGCTGGTTCCTTGACGTCCGTTTGGGGTGTTCTGCAGACCTGGCCCCCCATCCCTACTCAACTCCTTTCATGGGATCGATGTCGCCCCAGCGGTCATACGGTAGGTTCATGCGGCGTTGGCGCGTCGGCGACGCCAGCGAAGGCGCTCAAGGTTGAATCTTGCGACGCGAAAACACCGATGGACACGGTGACGCCTCTGGCCCGACTGAAGTCAACCGTGAACCATCGGGGCGTCGATCGGTTCAAGGTTGAACGATCGACGGGGTGACAAAAACCTTCGCGCGCGCCGACGCTTTGCGAACCTGCCGTGCGGTCTGGACGTTTTGGCCAGCGTGTAGCTCTGCCGGTTCTGGCCCACCACGTGCTGGAGCGGCACGCCGTCCACTTCGCTGTCCCCATGCGTCCCCGTCCCGAGCCTTCCCCAGCCTCCCGCCCCGCGGAGCGGAGCGACACGCTATCCACGCGCAGGGCACAGCGTGTCGCCGGGGCCGCCCCCGCGACATGCTAAGCAGAAGTTCCCGATCGTATGCACGGTAGCCGCCAGTGCGTTGCATTACGATTTCAATAGCATTGGCTTCGTGTCGACCGCTTCAAACAGCGTCGGGATTCCTGAGTCTAAGGTCCCCAAACGACCGCTGTTCAATCGGAGTGGTGACACACAGGGCCATTCCCTGATGCCTGCCTGATGGCCAGGCACGCGATTCCGGAAATTCCGAATCGCGAGAAACGCGATTCTAGAATTGCCGTATAGCCAAAAAACTAATCCCGTCACGCGAGTCGCCGAAAAGGGGGCAACGCTAGAGGGGCTGTAGGCTCGGGGGGTGGATGCCTCAAGCCCCGATCCTCCACTGGCGAAGTGAACCCCACCCTTTCCCTCAGAAATCGTGGAGGGTCGGGGTAGGGTTCGCATGTGGCCCCCGACCCCCTCCGGAGCCGGGAGGAGGACGAGGAGGAGGAGGAGGAGGAGGAGGAGGAGGAGGAGGCCAGTCACCCCGCGACCCCTTGCCAAAGCGACCTCCTCTGGTGCTCGGCCTTCGAGGGCCGCGGGGAGCCAAGCCCAGGCACGCAGGCCCCCGTCGCCGTCGCCGCAGCGGGTGCGCGGGTCGGGAAGCCGCGCACCAGCGGCTGCTCTTGCTCTCGGGTTATGATGTTCCAACGTACTTTAGCCTTGATCACCAGAGAGCATGTCGAGCGCCAGAAAAGTACCCCAAAATCTTGAGGCTGCCGCCACTGCCGCCGACCCCAAATGAGGCGGTTTGGGGCGAGAAATGGTGGGGTGGGGGTCCCAAGAACAGATGCTCCACGAGGTGGGAGTGCCTGGGCGTGGTGGGGGCGTGGTGGGGGGTGTCGGTCGGGTTTGGGCGAGAAATGGTGGGGTGGGGGTTCCCAAGAACAGATGTTCCATGTGGTGGGGGGTGGCTGGGGCGGTGGTGGGGCGTGGTGGGGGGTGTCGGTCGGGTTTGGGCGAGAAATGTGG